TTAATAAATAAATAGTTGCAATATATGCACAGCGTACCGTTCGGTCTCGGTATAGAATAGGCCACCCTTTCTGTCCCCGTAGGTGTAGTAAGAAACAACTAAAAGACCTTAATGATCGATAGGCAGCAGCATCCCTCTTAAAACATCACCAAAGTCTAACTGCGGTTGCCAATCCGTATGCCAAGCGTGGCAACTACTAGTAAAACCCCTTGAGGGGGAGACCTATGTTCAAAAGTGGACAGTAAATGGCTGATATCAATATATGCGTAACATATACTGCATTACCATATAATACCTCACCAAAATGGCGTCCAGCATTCAAGTGAAATTTCAGGTCACATTGGACAACTGCCAGTGTCACCACAGTTTGTAACTTAGTTTGAGACTCGCACAGGAATCGATTGCTCTTGTTGCCATGTGTTTTACCGACTTCGAGAAAAGTAAGAGATTTAATCGCATAACTTTAGAAGAGACGTCTTTGTAACAATTAATATAATTACTCGACAAGTTAACTGTTCATTTAAATCTTAATCTTTATCCAAATAGACTTGTTTACAAGCACATTATAAATCGTCATTTTTATGATTTCAAAAGGGGGGTAAAGAGATTTCTTCAGGGTCGGCGACGCGCGCGTAATACCTCTGGTATTGCAGGTGTTCATAGGCTACGGTAACCACTTACCATCAGGCTGTATGCTTGTTTGCCACCTCAGTGGTATAAAAAAAAAAGATTTGAACTGCTGGATTCCAAATGTTGTTATCTGCTGAGAAGAGCCCGCGTGAAACGCAACAGTTACTCTTTTCAATTTATTTATGTATAAGATAATTTTACATGATAGTGAACGTTTTTAATTTACCCAATAGTCCGTTTAAGGATGTTCTTCAGCGGACAAAATTCCGAGTAAAGTTTTTAGGGGTCTTTACGAGGTCTGTGTTGCCAGCTAGCAAGCATAAATGTTTCTTTCTTTGATCTAGGATTATATCTACACGACAAATAGTCATATAATATGTACAATATATATTTGTTATAGTAATATTTTATGTACATATTTATTTATTTATATACACATATATTTATTTATAGCAAAGCAACAGACTACAAATTAATATATATATATATATATATATATATATATATATATATATATATATATATATATATATATATATATATATATATGTCTGATTATAATTTTATAATAAATGAATATATTAAGTATTACTTTATATTTCCTCTATTCAATAATGCATCACCTCCTTATTTCTTCGTTTACCCAATGGTTGACTGGTAGAGAACACCGTCCGGTGTTAAGTTCACCAATTGTACATACAATTCCATTGTGCATTAAAGTTTAAATAAATAAATATAGGAACAACCAATAACCATAAGAAAGAAAAAAACAATCTTTATATGAACGTTCAAAAACTGAATAATATCGACATGGGCAGGACCACTGCTGTGTCCTTTGATTGTAACTGTTTATTACCTTTCAGCTTCTTAACAGTTCAGCCAATCACTATAAAATTGGTTATGCACGTATATACGGAATAGAGAAGAGCATCACAGGCTATCCCGGCCACATGACCTAAGTTACAGGTACAAACTGGTCTTACATAATTCGCCTGGCTCCGTAACAGCAGGATAGTCGAGCTGTGTACCAACTTTCATTTAAATCCGTTCCGCCGTTTAGGCGTGATTGAGTAACAAACACCAAAACATCTCCACAAACTTTCACATTTATAATATTTGTTGAATATAAATAGTTATACTTGATTTCAATTCAATTTATTCGTAAGAATTGTTTTAATGTTAAAACATGCTGCTTCTTGTTGTTATATACTATTATTTATTAATTATATTAACCTATACTTATAATAAATATGTAGAGAGGTCAATTCTGTACATGAAATATATTTCCAAAATAACTGTCAGGGGGTGATTAATGATCGATACTGATGCCAAAAATGCAATCAGTAAAATTTTTGTCTGTCTGTTTGTATGTTCGTTATAGAAACAAAAACTACTCGATGGATTTTAACGAAACTTGATACAATTATTCTTCATACACCTGGGCAGGTTACAGTATACTTTTCATCACGCTACGATCAATAGGAGCAGAGCAGTGAAGGGAAATGTTAAAAATGCCCACTCGTACGACGTCGGAACGGGCCGCTAGTTGTAAATAAAAATGCCGTCTGTTGAGTTGATGTCATTTGTTTTTCAATTTACTTTTTTATAAAAAAAAAAAATACATCTATCAATGTATGTAAAAAGTTTCATTTTGAACAGCATTATTATATCGTGTTAATAATTTTTTTAGAACTTATAAGAAGATATTATAAAAGAATTTTACATTAAACAGTAAAAGTATCAAGGAATGTAATAATTAATAATAATTGTCGAAAAATTATAAAATTAAAAACTGTCATGGGTAATGCGTAGTATAGTATATACCGGAATGAAAAGTACCCTGTTGGGTATACATAAAGTATCAAATTCAAATAGACTTGTTTACAAGCACTTTTAAATCGTCATTTTTTTAATCTACTGCAGTGTTCGGAAAGTTGCAATCTGTTATGGAAGAGCTCGCAACAAACTCGAACAGTTACTCTTTTACAACTTTGTTAACGTTATGTGTGGGGGGAGAAGGGATTGTTAGGAATGCGGATTATCAGTTCCATTGCTAATAATATACCCTAACAGGTCGACCTCCCCGTGGTCTCCCCTGAAAACCATCGTGCTGAATTCCAAGTGTATTCATCACGATAGACTAACTGACCTGCCTTTTCATCCTCACCTATCATCTCCCACTGGTGCCCCGCCAGCGTATACCGTTAGCGCAGGCGGGGTTACCATTCCATTATCATCCATTAAGAAAAAAAAAACAACATTATGTGTATTTATTTAAATGTACTATGTCTAAAATTACATGGTTATTTAAAAAGTCCGTGCATGATCGGCTAATAGCATGAAGATTTATCATTCAAGTAATCGTTTAGTACGTAATAGGCTTTGTTCAATAAGTGTTTTTTTTTTTGTTTTTTATAATAGTTTTAAATTAATTGAAAAGAAGATCCAAAATATCCTTCGGTATCTTATTATAATATCCCATGACGAGTTCTAACTTAAAGAGTAACAAACATTTATCCATTCAGTGGAAAGGGATTGTTACTAATGAAGTTTAACTGTCTCATTACTAACTATATACCCTATCAGGTCAACCTCCACGCGGTTGCCCTTAGAAACCATCGTGATAAATTTTTGTGGAATTCATCTCGATGGACTAACTGACCTGCCTTTTCATCTTTATCTATCATGTCTCCCTGATGCCCCGACAGCGTATACCAATAGCCCAGGCGGGGTTACCATTTCATTGTCACCATTTAAAAAAAATTCATCCATCCATCCATACAAACTTTCACATTTATTATATTAATAGAAATTTTAAAAAATATATACATTTCGTTTGATATTGTTAACTACTATTTGACGGGGGGGAAGGGATTGCTAGTAATGGAGACTGAGAATCCCATTGCTAGCAATATACCCAACCAGATCGACCTCCTCGCGGTTCCCCCTGGAAACTATCATGGTTAATTCCTGATGAATTCATCATGATAACTGGCCTGTTTTCATACTCATCTATCACCCTTCACTGGTGCTCCGCCAGCGTATCCCGTTAGCGCCGGCGGTGCTACCATACCATTTTCACCCATTAAAAAAAAAACTACCATTCGACGTGTTACAACTGACACTATAAACGCAGACGAAACAGCGGGTCACACCTAGTTAGCAACATATAGCGTTCTTTAATAGTTTTAATTAATGCAAGTAGCTACTTCGCGTTGTCATATTGTTAGCGTTTTATAATGGCGTCAACAGTATTGCAACTCAACGGTGATCATCTTAAAGTCGATTATAGATTGAACGTAACGAACAGGTGGAACGGAAAGTGTTAGCAATGTTGACTTTCTATTGTGCAGTTTAGTTTCATTCATTATTAACAGCTGACTCCGTATATATTGCATACTAAATCGAATATAATTAATTATTATGTACCACAAAACAATTGAATTCAATTGTGACAAAACCTTTAAATACGGATCTAAAAACTAAACTATTGATACAGATTTTCATAAGATTTCCACCAATCTGTAGTAATTTACTATAAATCACCCATTTTCGAATTGAAATGGGTCGAACAAATATGTATAGATTAAAATCGACAGAGATTTTTATAGGAAAATAATGTAATAATTTATCACAAGATTTTTACTATAATATTTAACTTAACGGCTTAACCATTAACTACAAAATTTTGTCTACACATACTATTCGGGATGGAGCAGGATATAGGCTACTTATTCCGGTTAGTAAATATATCTCAGTCACGCAGAGTCGCGGGTAAAAATCTAGTTTTAAATTGTTAACAAAATGATGTCTGTATGCATAGAGACAAGTATCGATAAATCCGCTGGTAAACGGATATACATAAACCGGTATAGGTACAGCTATGTGTTACGTAAATGGGAATTAAAAAATAATGACGTGTTCAACTTCAGCCCGCATAGTTCAATGATAAACGAGTGATCTTGACCCGGTTTATCTGTATATTAAGTCACACTTGCACTAAAACCTTACCGGTGGTAAAGGTATACCTGCCCTATATTTTACAACTGATATTCCAAATATACTCTGTTAAAAATAGAATGTAAGAAAATAAATTTTAAAAATAAAATTCATCAGACAAAAAAACATAAAATTAACTGTAAATAAAAAAAATATTAACACCATCTGACGGTAAGAATTGTTAATTACGACAAATAAGTAAACATGATTAGAAAAATGAAGATCAAAATTCAAATTTCAACAAAAATAATTTTAAAAAACGAACATATTTTCGAAATTTGAAACTCCTCGCGGTAACACAGAATATCTGTACACGCAGAATACAATGGTTAGAAAACAGTGTAGTATAAAATTAGATAAAATGTACTCACAATATCGTGCCCTTGACTGCCGCTCCTGACGACCTCAGGTGCCATATATTCTATAGTGCCACAGAAGCTGTACGCTCTGTTCTCTCCGCCGCAGAACTCTTTGGAGAGCCCGAAGTCTGTGAGCACTATATGGCCTTCGGCGTCAAGGAGAATATTTTCTAGTTTGATGTCCCGATATATGATGCCGAGCTGTGGGACAAACATTTACTGTTACTTATCAAGATCGTCAAAACAAATTATATAGAAAATAAACTGTTATCAAAGATGATACAAGAAAAAAGGTACAATTAAAAAAAAATTAACACATTACACGACCGATTTGACATCAATACTTGTAAGCTCGTAGTAAAATGAGACTAAAAAGTGTGTTACAATAATATTTATTCAGAACAATTTTACATACGGTATGTGTATTTTTTTGATGGGTGAAAATGGTATGGTAGCCCCGCCTGCGCTAACGGGATACGCTGGCGGAGCACCAGTGAAGGGTGATAGATGAGAATGAAAACAGGCCAGTTAGAGCCCATCATGATGAATTCAACAAGAATTAACCATGATAGTTCCCAGGGAGAACCACGAGGATGTCGACCTGGTTGGGTATATTGCTAGCAATGGGATTCTCAGTCTCCATTACTAACAATCCCTTTTCCCCCTTGGTATGTGTATTATGTGTATTTACAGAAATTAATATAATTAAACCAATCATACTGTCACAGTAGGCATATCAAAACATTAATGAGTAATGCGATATATTTTAATGCATTAATCAATGTTAACGTAACTACAATTGATTTATTTTTATCTCTATTCTATTTTGTATGGTTATATATAAACTTTCATGCTCTCAATTGACTTCAATAAATAAATTTATTTTTATATCACTGAGGTTGGCAATCAAGCATACAGCCCATCTGATGGTAAGTGGTTACCGTAGCCTGTGAACGCCTGCAATACCAGGGGTATTACGCGCGCGTTGCCGACCCTGAAGAAATCTTAATATCAAAAAAGGTCTTGAAGAACTCCACACTGTAGCCTGTAGATTGCCAGTAACATATACACACACACACACACACATATATATATATATATATATATATATATATATATATATATCTTCACAAATTATGAGCTATGATGATTTTTTTCTTTGCATATTCATGTTCGCCTATTTAGACCTAATCATCGCTCCTTTTATCAGGTGAACAATGAGCTTTAAACAGTCAAAAGTACTATTGTTAATAATACTTTTGAATCACATAATAGTTAAAAGTACCTAACCTAACCGTAAGGGGGAAAAGGGATTGTTAGTAATGGAGACTAAGAATCCCATTGCTAGCAATATACCCAACCAGGTCGCGGACCTCCTCGCGGTTTCCTCGGAAACTATCATGATTAATTTCTGATGAATTCATCGTGATGGGCTAACTGGCCTTTTTTTATACTCATCGATCACCCTTCACTGGTGCCCCGCCAGCGTATCCCGTTAGCGCAGGCGGGGTTACCACTCCATTTTCATCTAAAATAAAAAAAAAAAACCTAGCCGTAAATTTGCAGTCAAAAATACTAATAACCAATAATTTTTAGTCAAAACCATTTTTAACCAACCTGTCCTGTCAAAAGTACTTTTGACTGATTTTGCTAGTCAATAGTACATTTGACTGGTTGAGAGTTTTGACTGCAACATTTACAATTAATTCCAATGCAATTTGCTGTAAAAAAAAAGCAAAGAAAAGTCTACCTTATGCAACTGCTCGAGAGCCAATATGATCTCCGCTATGTATATCCGTACTTCAGTCTCGTTGAAATGTTCCCTTTGGTACAGATGGGTGAACAGTTCCCCACCGGCTACGTAATCTGTCAACAAAGAATTTTAATTAATAAAAAAATTTAAAAGACTTATGATATGGAGAAAAAGATTGACGAGAAAAGAGGGAAGTGCAAGGAGCGAATAAAGGAAGTTGATAGAAAAGGAATTAAGAACCCATGGGGAAAAGAGACGACATTGCAGTTGCGGAGAGAATACTGGGGGTCTACCATGAAATGAAATTCCAAATTTTCGGGATCAATTTCGTGTTTTTGTTCGTACCGAAACCGACCCTGTAAATGGAGCTTAACATTTCGTTTGTCATAAATCCTATCATGAAAGTTCAAAGGAACGATATTTTAGCATTTTTAATTTTTTTAAACGGTGCATATCATGTAATTTAAGCTTCAAATTTTTGTTTCGTTCGGATCCAAAATTTTGGAAAACATTTCATGGTAGAACCTCTGATCAGAACTGGCAGTTGATCTGGATGCCAGGGTGCCATAGTCTTGTGGCCATACTCTAGAACCGGACAGATCACTAGAGGACAAGACCACTGGCAAACAACATTAATTCTGTCACTATAAGTCATTGTTTTAGCTGAACAAATTTGTTTTACTTGCAATTATTTCTACATACACCGTATGTATGTATATATGTAGGTATATATTCCGATTACTCATATTAATATTGATTTGGCCCACATGTCCGTTATTTACTGACGTACCAGATTCATACTCATACGGTATTTATTATAAATCGTCTATATGGGTTACCTGGATATATTATATTAGTTCTTGCTTTTGATTTAATGTATTAATATAAGTTTTATTACTAATAATAATAGTATGTAGTCCTTCAAAAAAGGTGTGTTAAGGCTTCATCAGGATTGGAAACGCTCACGTGACACTCTCATTGTAGTAGGCGTCCTTAGGCTACAGTGACCGTTTACAATTAGATGGGCTGTGTTTGTTTGCCACCTTCGTGGTATAATAAATACACTGCACTAGCTTCTAATCTATAGTAACATATAAAGAAGAAGAGTTTGTTTGTCTAAACAAGCTAACTAACTCTGGAATTAGCAATCGGGTTTGAAAATTCGAATTTAATATTTCATTTCTTGAGAGAGATTATAGGTTATTCAACGTCACGATAACGGACAAAAATGCGGGATACAGCAAATTTTCATTATACTGATGGGATTTCCAGTTATTTAAATATGCTGTAAGTTAATGTTAGAATATTTTTAAAAACGTAAATATGTAATATATTTTTAAGGCATGTGAATAACAGCTTACTGATTTAAAATATGGCAAGGATATATTATACTTTTATACTAACTCACGCGGGATACTCCAAGTATTTTAAATATGAAATTTAACGTGTTATATTTTCAATGTCACGACCTTAAAATCTTACAGTAAAAAGCATTAAAACGGTCAACAAATAACAACGTTACAAAATGCAGTTAAACATAAACCATAAATTATAATAACACTTGTGAGTAAAACTGCGCTAATTAAACTACAATAGAAACTGAACTTGAAATAGACACGGTAAACGTTTAAACTAAATCCAGGCTGAAACATGTGAGGCTGACCCAAATCCCGAAGCTCACTGCAATAAAATTCTGCCTAGTGTTTTCAGACAAGAACTAAATCCAACCAGTGTTTCTCGATTTGTTATCGATCAAAAAATTGTGGAGTCAAGTGCGAAATCTTAAAATTGCGTATCACATCCGCTGAACCATATATGACATAATTAATATTGTGCCAAAAAAACTAAAAAAAAAACGAACTTAAATTGTGGTAAAAACCGTTATTTTGATTTAAGTATGATATATCAATCATGTCAGATACAAAAAGAATCTTACAAATCGGTTTACAACTAATGAAGTTATGTTGTAATAAACATAAAAAAATACAATCCAATGAGATTCTCCTGTTTGAACTCGTTTGAAAATAAGGAAAACATGTTGAAATGAATAAATATCTTTAGCCGATCATAACTTTCTACTAATATTACAAAGGCAAAGGTATTTTTTACACACATTTAAATAACTTTTCACGCGCTGATGGACCATATTGATTCAACATATAGGACCTGGAATCGCATCTGAGGTGACATTCTAATATTGATGTTTTAAAACTACAATTTAAACTGTATGTAACATAATACTTGCACTAAATCTAACAATTTAAACTTTAGAAACAACTTTAACAATTCCCTTGCATGTCTACTGCTGAAACAATCTACTTGTGGAGATTTGTTTCATACAAATTGTAATGTTTTTGCAAATAAACGATTGATTGATGATTAATTTAAACTGATCTGTGTATAATCGAGTCGACCTTGTCCTTTTTACATTTCACACGGTAAACCACGATTTTAAATGCTAAAAGTTTAGAAAACCCATTTTTTACATATAGTAAGGGACATGTAAACGATCTGTACAAGATTTATTCAATGGGTTACGTTGATAAAGTTTATATTTATTTATGCTACCACTCCTCCAGAGTTCAAGTTTGCGACCACGTTTATTATGAAATATGTATTTCATAGGCACGATCAACTAAATACCTACTTTATTTAATGTTTATAAATATTGTCAAAAATGTAAATGTGTACCAATTATGTAAATCTATTTGCATTTATTTTTATTTTTATTAAGACGAACATACAGCCTGAATAGCACCTATGATAATTTACACGAAAGACATTACACTATTTTCCGTCAGTCGGTAAAAAAAAGTCGTAATCGCGTTACCCGTCTTCAAAAAGGAGGTACCAAAAAGCGACTAGAATCATAAAGACTAAGACACCAACGAACGGCGAGATATTTCGTAGACAGATTAGAATGAAACAATTCGAATTTAGAACGCGGATTCACGTGTCTACGAGTAGTAGACTTTGCCTAGAGATAAGCAGTTACTCAGCAAACAAATCCGGCATCACCAATCGTGTCAAAATACTCGTATAGTACTGTACATGAAGGATGTTAAGGGCGTTCATTAATTTTGTTTGTCAAAGTGTGATAAAGTAACAATTATCAATAAATTACAATTTTCAATGTTTCCGATTGATTTATATGTAAAAAGTTCACTGGTTACTAACTAAAAGTTAATAATACAGCAACCTTCGTGTTTCTACCGTGAAGCAGTTGTGTTTGCATGGCTGTGTTTCGGTTTGAAGGGTGGGATATGGCAGTGAATTTACAGGGTACAGAGGAATAACACCTGAGTCCTCAGGAATGGCAACGCATGGGGAGTATCATGGGCGAAACGGTATACTGTTATGTCCATGGTACTGCTCATGTCTATAGGCGACGGTTACCACTTTCCATCAGGTGGGCCGTCAGATTGTTTACCATTCTATGTTGTATAAAAAAAATATAGAACCTCACTTCACTACCAACATTATAAATTTGTAAGCGAGTTTGTTTGTTAACCTACTATAAAATTTAGTATACATATACTATATGAGATGGAGAAGGACATAGGCTATTTTTTATCTGTTATTTCAGTCAGTGGACATATTTCGGTCACACGAACAAAGTCGCGGGTGAATGCTAGTATTTTCTATATATTACATATCGCAAGTAGACAATAGCTAAAGGCAACTATATACCGAGTGCATTATATACAACTATTTCATAATATTGTTTTCGAGTTCGCCTTGACCCGCCGGACGCTGCGCTTTTCCCTGGCAGCTAGTTGCAAATAGTCCATTGTTGAAGTGTTGCACGTGCGACGAGCTAGGGTTGACAATGTCGTACATAAATAAATATCCTTGCTTTAATTGATTTTTTTAATGGATGATAATGGAATGGTAACCCCGCCCGCGCTATCGGTATACGCTGGCGAGGCACCAATGAGTGATGATAGGTGAGGATGAAAGCAGGTCAGATAGCCCATCGTGAAGAATTCCACTAGAATTAACCCTCGACAGTTTCCAGGGGGAACCGCGTGGAGGTCGACCTGATAGGCTAGCAATGGAGCTGTTAGACTCCATTACTAACAAACCCTTTTCCCTCTGTTTTAATGGATTGTTAGTATGCGGATCACCAGTCACATAGCAAGCAAAGTACCCTGTCAGGTCTTCCCTGGAAACCATCGTGCTGATTCCTAGGTGTATTCATCATGATGGGCTAGCTGACTTGCCTTTTAATTTTCACTTATCATCCTTCACTGGTGCCCCGCCAGCGTATACCGTTAGCGCAGACGGAGTTACCATTCCATTATCATTCATTAAAAAAATCTGGAACTACAGGCGCTATTGCTAGCAATATACTCTATTATCTATTTCATTTTCTTACTTCTGAAAACAACGTGTACGAAGTAGGGATAAGCTAGTCAGGAGATACGATAATAAGACGCAAAAGAGACTAAATAGCTGCTAAAATATGATACTCAAGACATCTTTATAAGAGGTTATATGTAAACAAACAGTGTTACAAACATTCTTATTAGATAATAGGGATAAGTAAATAATGTTTACTTCTCCCTGGAAGAGATCACTTACAGCAATAAGGTCGTCCATTGTTTCCTCACTGTGATTATTTCTTATAATTGTTTATATCTATAATAAGTTTACTATTGTAATCTTTTGGAGGAAACAATAAAGAGTATATATCTATTTATTATGTTATTACAGGATATGTTACATATAGTCAACAACATTGTCGGTTATGTAAAATATTGAAACAAAATGGCGGATTGTCAAGGATAAACTGTAATAATAGATTACAGGAGACAACATTAACTATGCAAGTGACAAATGAATAAAATACATATTTTTAAGGTACTTTTGATATACAAAATAAGTGTGCGCGCGTGAATTTTTTATATCCACAGAGTGATATCGAAATAGTGTTGAGTTTTTAGCAGAATCATCTCAACAGATAACAACATTCCGAACCCTGCAGTAAAATTAAAAAAAAAAATACGATCCAAAAGTGCTTGTAAACAAATCTATTTAAATAAAGATGACTTAAATTTGTTAGCGGTACGTACTATAGCACATTAGAATATAAATTACTTGAGTCGAAAGT